CACTGGTATCAGTGGTTCACTAGCATAAAGACAACTCCTTTATGGTATTAATTCAACTGTAAACCTAAAAATTTACAGCCAAATTTGAAAGAGATCAATCTTAGCTCTGGAAATTATTATTGAATATGTCAATGCCGTTGTAATGAAATGCTTCTTCTAATTATGTGGTTATTAAATAAATATTTTTAAAATTATAAAAAGAAAAGGAGAACTATATTTTTAGAAAAATAAGTTTTTCATTGGTTAAACTCTGAAGCAGCTCTCATGTCTTCCCTTCAGTGTTTACATCTCAGGCCACAAAGAGAAAAATACCTCAGACAGATGGAGCCATCGGAGTGGGGCTGACAGGCATGGGGAAGGCAGGGTATCTCTTTCAAGTAAGTTCTGAGCGGTTTATAGGTAGGCACATTTTCATTTCAAATGACTTGGACATTATAAAATTATGTCCTTAGTCCTAGCTTCCTCTTCTGAATATCACCCCCGCACATACCTTTCTTTTCTATACTTTTAAAATGCCCTGGTATGGTAGCATATGCCTCTAATCTCAGGACAGAGGCAAGTGGATCTTTGTGAGTTCCAGGCCAACCTAGTCTACATAATAAGTTCCAGACCAGCTGGGGCTGCAGGGAACCCTGTCTCAAAAACAAAAAACAAAATAAAACAAGTAAAAATGTCCATCTCCCTTCCTATAAAAGAAAACCTCTCATTTTACTCATGTTCCAATTCATTTCCCTAATCTAGTTCACCCTCTGTTTCCTTCAACCAAGCAAAATGTTTTCTATATCCTTTGTATTGAAAAACTTTCAGGAGGGGCTGGAGAGATGGCTCAGCGGTTAAGAACACTGACTGTACTTGCAGAAGACCCAGGTTCGAATCCCAGTACCCACATGGCAGCTAACAACTGTCTGTAATTCCAGTTCCCAGGGATCTGACAGCCTCTTCTGCCCTCTGCCGGCATTGCACGACACGGGTGTACTTACTTACATGCAGGCATAACACTCATACACATAAAAAAATTATAAATAAAATATTAAAAAAAAACTTTTAGGAAATAATTATATTTCAGAAGGGATTTTATGTGACTGACCAATAGAGGCAGAATAATCTCAGAATACCATCATAAAAATTTATCTGGTATAATAAAAGTGGTTATCTACATACTTACAACCAGATCTGAAGTCTTCATTCATTTCATTATTTGGGGACATCTGTAAATCCTGTTCATTCGTAAAAGATGTATAATAGGCAAGGTCAGTGACCCATCTGCCCTCTTCATTTTGGTAGACTACATTCTGTGAGACATCTGTTTCTAAAAAATAAAATCACAAAACCATCCAATGGCACATATAGCAAATAATTATAAGACATAGTCATGGGGTTGGGGAGATGGCTCAGCAGTTAACAGTACTTACTGTTCTTGTTCCTACAGAGGATCCAAGTTTGGTTCCCAGCACCCACAACCACTTGTGACTCTAACTCCAGGGGATCTAATACCCTCTTCTGGCTTCCAGGGGCACCCATAGACACATGCATATAACACCCCCACATATACATAATTAAAAACTAAAATGAGGGTTGTTGTTGTTTTTTTAATTCCATTAAGGGGCTAGAGAGATGGTTCAGCAATTAAGAACACTGGCAGCTCTTCCAGAGGAATGGGGTTCAGTTCCCAGCACCCACCTGGCAGCTAACAATGCCAAATACTAGGGGATCCAATACCCTCTCTGGCCTCTACATGCACTGCACACACGGTACACTTATTTCCATTCAGGCAAAATGTTCTTACGTATAAAATAAAAATAATTAAAATTTCATTAAGACAGCCTCAATATTTTTTTGTTTAGCTGACTACTTATCATTGGTGCCAAAGTCTGCTCAAAATTAGTTAGAAAAAGGAAAATCCATTTCCCCAAAAGAAAAGTGTCTCTTTTATGGCAGCCAATCAGCCTTACCCACAAGTCTATAATGGATAAGATATAATGGAAAAACACTCAGAAAGGTAAATCTGCCCTAGATCTCTGCTTAATTATTCCTAGCAACAATCCTGAATACTAGCATATTTTAAAACCCACAAAACATGGAAAATGGCTCATGGGTTCCTGTCCCACTGAGGGGAGCTCATGACAGTCAAGGGCTGCTGAGGAAGAAGTCACTGTCTTCAATGATGTGGCCACTAGTGAGCTACCAATGCTCAGAGGAGACCCTCACGCCCACACCCATGCCACTGGCCTTCATTAAACCTAGCAGGTAACAAAGCTAACAAAAGCAAAACAAAAAGACATGAAAGTGGGATAAAGAATTGTTGGGGAGGGGTTTGTGCAGGTGGAAGGAAGATAAAGAGGTGGAGGGATAAATGTGACCACACATGTACAAAACTGTCAAAGGATAAATTAATTTTTAAAAATCCCTAAAAACACTTAAAATTATTTCAATATAAATGACTAGAGACCCACATGGCAACTCAGTCTACTCTAAATATATAAAATCTTATATATTTTTTTAATTCTATTTAAGAAGATAAAAACAGTCACTTACGGTCTTTAGTCTTTGCAATTGGCTCGTAACATTCACATGTTCTCCTTTCACAAGTTGGTGACCAAAGAATATCCAAAGAATTAATTTCATTATCACTATTAGGCTTCAAAGATACAATGCTCCCATCTTTTTGAATAGGCACTGTAGGAGTCTCAGTTTTTAAGCATCTATTCATGTGCAAAACTGTTTCTGAAGTGGAAGCCAAATCCTTATTTTGATGAAGAGACTCTTCCTCATGTTTTATAGACTCAGTCAGGTCAAAACCATCTTTAGTAGCATTTGTATCATGAATATAAATAGGGTTAAGTTTCTCTTCCGTAGCACTGACAGTCTTCACCAGAACATCCTCTCCCGCACTTTCCTTTAAAAGTCATTAACAGAATGGTAAATTTTGTTTTTCAAACTCATTTTAAAGTTTTATGGGCAGAGCAATGCAACTGCTATAAAATGCTTATTATATAAAGGAACAGACTATATTAATATTCATTAAGCAATTTACCAAAACAGAACTTAAAAATGTGGTCCTGGCAAACATATACATAAGAGACCTAGAAAATAAAAGTGGGCCTACATTTGTCCATCACATTACAGAATGACTGAAGTGTAATTTAACATTCCTAATTACCAATAAAAGTCACTACAAAAGCAAGTCCATTAGTAACAGCCAACTTGCATGAATAAAAGCCCATAAATACTAACTTCTAATAGGAATAAAACACTAAATATTGTGACTGTCTAACGAATCCAATAATTATATTAATCACAGCAAACACAGAGCCTCATTAAGTTCTCTAATCACTATGGTGTTTCAAGAATGCAAAGGAGAATCTAACAATGAAAAACAAATATGCTTGAGCAAGGTAAAAGACAATCTATTCAGTTTTGGGGTTTTTTTTTAAGACAGGTTCTCATGTAGTCCCCACACTCACTATATAGACAAGGCTGGCCTTGAAGTCCTGACCTTCTTGCCCTCACCCCAGTGGTGAAATCAAATGCATGGACCACGACACCTAGTTATGCTTTTTTACTTAATGACTGTACACTAAGCTAAAGAATTTTTCAAATGAATAACTGAAATGTAAGTGATTAGATGTTTAAGTCTAAGAAAATGTAATTATGTAATAGAATGCTAGTAATATCAAAGGTATATATAATCACATATGAACCTTGTGAGTAGTGATTTTTATACTTTTTCTATATGTCATACAAAATCAAAGTTTCATATTCCTTGGGCTAGAAGGTTGAAATAAAATTAAACTTACTCTGCTTTGATCTGAAACATCGTCCTTCAAACTGCCTGCTTTTCCCTTCTCAGTTCTCCAGGTTCTAGGGTGAAATGGTAACATATCATCTACCTGCTTTCTATCTCGAGTACCTACACCATCACCTGAAAATAAAAGAAAAAAGTTAATGGAACACTGTGAAAGTTCAGATAATCTGATGCAATAACTGCTTCCTGTTAGTCCAATTTTTTTATGTAAGCCTAATACTTAGTCTTCATATGGAAAATTTGGCAAATTAGAAACAATAAGAAACAATAATTAGAAAAAATAAGTATCAGTAATAGGAAATAAACATGAGAAATGTGGTACTATTCACAGAATTGATTTCTGAATAGACTACAATGATTTAAAATAGTTAAACCAGGAAGAACATACTCCTACATTTCTAAGAGTACCAATTCTCATGGGTATTATTATTATTACTTTAAGTGTCTCAATAATTAGGACTGTTAAAAAATAAATGAAGAAATCAAATCTCACACTAACATATAAAACAAAACTACTCAAGAGCAAATTTAACCAAGGAGGTGAGTGATCTCCTGCTCATGTAGTATTATTAAGAGCTCTACTGAGGGGCTGGAGAGTTGCTCACTGGTTAAGCATACTGTCTGTTCCTATTGAGGATCCAGATTCAGCTAGCAACCATTCGTTACATCCAGTTCCAGGGGATCTGACACCTTCCACTGGCCTCCAAGGACGTTGCATGCCTGGGTGCATTTACATACATGCGGGCAAAACACTCACACACATAAAAAATAAAAATAGATAAAAGTCTCTTTTGAAAAGATTTAGACTGATGATTCAAAGAGAAAAAGTTAATTGATGATATATCATAACAAAGAATTGAATTTTTTTTCTAAAAAGGTACATGCAAACCAGATTTAAGAACAAAGGAAATGGGGCTGAAGAGATGGCTCAGCGGTTAAGAACACTGGTTGTTCTTGCAGAAGACCCAGGTTCGAATCCCAGCACCCACATCCATACCTCCAGTTCCAGGGGATCCGACAGCCCCTTCTGTCCTCCGTGGACACTGCACAATACGGGTGCACTTACCTACATGTAGGCAATACGCACATACACATAAAAATAATAAAATACTTTTTAAAAAATAAATAAAAAGAACAAAGAGAGCCAGACATGGTAGCTCATACCTAAAATGTCAACACTTAGGAGGCGGAGGCAGGAGAACTGCAATGAGTTGAGGTGAGTGTGGGGTACAGAGTAAGTTCCAGGCCAGTCTAGGCTACAGTGTAAGACCCTGACTCAAACCAACCAACCAATGAACCAAAGAAATCATATTTAAACACTTACTGATCCCAGGCAGACAAACATGGCTTCCCTCAGACTCTCTGTGAGTTGTTCCAGAACTTCCTGAAGAACATGCTTCATGGGAAATCAGAGAGCTATCATTTTCTGATTGCAACTCACAGTTTAAGATATTGTTTTCATTTGCCTGTTGAAAGAGTGCTTGGCTATATTAACCTTTAAAGTTAAAAATCAAACATTTTAAGGAGGAACATGTGGTAGCAGAGAATGTATATTGTACGGAGGGATGCCAGGCATGGTATGTAGGAGGACCAGAAGAACCACCATGGGAGCCACCAGTGTAGAACTTGTTTCCAGGAGGCTTTAGCAATTAAATTACCACCAGTTCATGAAGGCTTGTTAGGAACAAGATGTTCACAAGACCTTGATGTGCCATCCCACAGATGACTGAATGACAAAAGGAAATGGCACCTTCACCAGCAGACATACAGCCAGCAATTACATTATCAAACAGCAACAACAACGGAAGGATAAACAGATGCATCTCCTGCCGTGAAGCAAGGCACACACAACACCACCTATGTTTAATCAACATGCTCATGAGAAAAATGTCTCACTGGAATTCATGCCAAATGCTTATTCTGTTTGGTGAAAATAGTAATCAGATATATCTAGATTATGGGTCATTCTAAAAACCAGCCTAGATTTTATAAAACATGTATGAAAGAATTCTAATGTGACAACCAGAAACAGTATAACCTTGATTAAATTATGCATAATAAATAATAAAATTAAAGATTAGAGACAAGTGGGCATATTTGAATATGGGCATTAATTAAAACTATGCTATCAAAGGTAGATAACAGAATTGTGATTATGCAGAAAAATGTTCTTATTCATAGGAGATAAACATTAATGTGTTGAGGTGATACATAATAAAATGTTTGTAATTTGCTTTCAAATGATTAAAGAGAGGAAAAAACAGGCAATGGTGACAAGATGTTAACAACTGCTTTATATAAACACAGGATGTCCACTGACTATATTTTATTTTCTTCCTTTCTTTCTTTTATTAGACAAGGTCTTGCTATGAAACCCAAGCTACCCCTGAAATCCTAATATTGGCTAGTGCGGGGATTACCACTTATTTCTACATTCTGTAGGTGAGGGCAAAGTAAGAGGAAGTAGGAGGAAAATTTTTATTTCTCATCAATTTGGAGTCCAGAGAAAACCAAAGACTTAAGTTTCATGTTACTATCTAACCAAATGTGATGACATTGGGGAGGTGGAGGCAGAAGGATCAGATGTTCAAGGTCATCCTCAGCTACACAGAAAGTTGGAAGCCAGTCTAGGCTACATGAAACCCTATCTCAAAACAAAACAAACAACAAAACAATGTAACAATAACATCAAAAATCTAATGAGACAAACAGTAACTTCCAATGCCAAATTTCTGAAAAATTCCAAGAATTAGAACATACCTGACTGGGATCACTTATAGAGAATTTAAAATCATTTTCTGGTGATTCCTGTCCTCCTTCTTCATATAGCATTCCTGGAATTGCCAGTTGTTCAAAATATGCTTCCAAATGATCGTCATAAAATTCTTCATCGTTAATATCATCATCTATTGACAAAGTAGAGGGAAAAAATAAGATAGGCTATCAAGTAGGAACTGAAACTACACATAATTTGTAATTGAGAAAGCTGACAAAAGAAATAGAGCAGTGGATGACATGATTTCTTTATTCTTGACATAAGAAAACTATCACAAAACCACGGTTGGTAGTGTATGACTATAAACTCCCAGCACTACCCCAGGCAGGGGCAGAGAATCATTGCAAATTCCAGGCCACTGATCTACATATCAAATTTCAAGACAGTCATGGCTTATAGTGAGACTCTGTCTCAAAAAAAGGAAAAAGATTGAAGCTACAACTCAGTGGAAAGTGTGTCCACCTAGCAGGCAGGAAGTGCTGAGTTCAAGACCCAAGACTTCAAAAGGCTGGGGGAGGGGTTAGTTATAATTCAAGTCAGCTTATAAGACATGTCAGGCTGATAGTGTACACCTGTAATTCTAGCACTCCAGAGGCTGAAGCAAGCGGTTCATGAGCTCAAAACCTTATTTTAAAAAAGAAATAAAATAAGTCTGCCACTAAAAAGTCATTATGAACATTTTGGTATAATAATTGCTTCTTTGAAAATCAAAACAGATCTGACATGTTACAGGAAGTTAGGCTATGATAAACGTGGCATCATAAATTAATGGGAAAATAACAAACTACTCATAAAATAGTGCAGCAAATGGTTTACACTATCAAAAAGGGATAGATAAACCTATTAGTGAAGACGTAGTGATGAGAGAAGGAGAAGAGAGAAAACATTGCAGCAGTTTTCGATGTTATAATGCTCAGTTCAACAAGGGCAAAATAAAAGAAGTACTCTTAGTCACAGCAATAGAATTATAAGGTGGCACTGCTTTTCTTAAGAGGTTAATTTTGCAATCAACAATAGGAATCTTAATGTTTGTAACTTGCTTGAAGCTAGCCTACTGAAACAACCAAAAATATGGTAAACTCACATCAATAATTCTTTAACCACAATTCCACAACCCCAAACAATGTGTTTCCATACCCATTAGGCAATAAAACCTGTCCTGAATTATATGATGCATTTATCCTCTTCAGCCCATCAACCTGGCTTCCTGAACCATGAATAATTCTCTAGATCTCTTTAAAACACTAAGGCCTCCTTTAAGTGCTACAAATCTGCCACACAAATCAATACTAAAACTGCCCCTGCTTTCTGAGAAGGACTTCTCATATGCCTAAGCACTATCCTAGGTTCCATCTTCTTTCAAGAGAGTTTCACAGATACCCTCTGCAATCAGAATTGATCTGTTTACCTATGGTTCCCAAGCACGTTTAGTATTGTCGAGGTATCCTTCATGTACTCTGAAGTTATGCATCTCTTTTCTGAACTTCGCTGAGCTCTCTTACAGAGAACAGAGGTGAAAAATTTCATAATTCTTCAATTTAACAGTGTTTTATATCAAATGGCAAATTTAGGAGGCTACTTTATACCCCAATGATGTCAAACTGAGGGATGAGTATAATCCTATCAGTATATATAGAAAGACATTTTAAAAATTCTGTAACAGCTGGGTGTAGTAGCGCACACCTGTGAACCCAGCACTCAGGAGGTAGAGGCAGGCAGATCTCTGTGAGTTAAGGCCAGCCTGGTCTACATAATGAGCTCTACGTCAGCCAGCACTCCATAAACTATCTTGGAAAAAAAAAAAAAAATCCTGTCACTCTACAGACTAAGGGTTGAAGGTAGGAGGAAAACACAAAGGGAAAAAAACAAAACTGTAATGACTACTGCAATAAGGACACAAAATGAAGTGAAATAGGAAAGGAAAGATAGAAAACGCAAGTTACTTTGCAGTACCAGAGGAATCTTCCAAGTTTGTCAAAGTTGTAAGTCTCTCATTTTCTAATAAGCTAGTATGGCTGAAATCACTGTTTCCAGTCTTGTCTTTAAGATGCTTTCCAGCATCAGGCACAACAATCTAAAAGAAAAAACTGATGTATAAGAAAAGCACATTCACTGGCTTGAAGAACACAGTACAGGACTACGAAAAAGATCAAGCATTTTCTCAGTCTACAATGCAGTTAACAACTAAAGAATACAATTTAGTCAGTTTAGCTGTTTACATGTATTAGTAACTTTCCTTCTTGCCCTACTTTATTTCCCTCCAGACCTCCCCTTAAAATTTAAGGCTCCTGCTGGGCATGGTGGCTGGCATATGCCTCAAAGGCAGAGGCAGGCAGATCTCTGTGAGTTTGAGGCCAGCCTGGTCTCCATAGTGAATCTCAGGCCAGCTGTGGCTACAGGGAGACCTTGTCTCAAAAAGACCCCCCCACCAAAAAAAAAAACCCAAACTTAAGGCATCTATCAAATTGTTTCAGTTGTTGTAGAACTTAGAAACACAGGGTACTAATACACAACTGATCAACACAAGGCTTGCTACAGAAGTGAATATACTAAGAAGGTGGGAATAAGTAATCTTTAAGCAAGCAATCTTTCCTATCATTACTTAGAACTACCTTGTTTTCTGCTCCTCTATCCAAGGATTGCTAACCCTAAAGGGCACAAGCAATTTATAGTAAAGGCCCAGAATGAATATATGCACCTGTCATTTATTTCTCACTAATATCAAATATATATTAAAAACTGATACCAGCCTAAGAGTTAGACTGCAAAATATACAAATTTTTTAAAGTAAAAACATTGCATGCCAATGTAATTTTATAATTATAAAAGACAAGGCTAAAGGCGGGGTATGGTGGGGCATGCCTTTAATCCCAGCACTTGGGAGGCAGAGGCAGGCGAATCTGTGAGTTCGAGGCTAGCCTGGTCTACACAGTGACTTCAAGGTCAGCTGGGACTACAGGGAGACCCTGTCTCAAAAATGCAAAAAAAAAAAAGAAAAAAAAAATAGGGCTGAACTAGTCCAAAAAATATCTAAGGCATAGGATGGTCCCAGTACTACTTTTGAATTTCCTTATTACTAGAGGTAAAAAATCCCACTCCCTCCCACACCCACACTCCCCATCCTCCCCATCCTAGCCCCAATTTTTAAGACAGAATATGATTGTCTTTCTAATTTTTAAAGTTTTATTTATTTTATGTGTATGAGTGCATTGCTTCCATGTATGTAATTGCACCCATATCCATGCAAAGCCCACAGAGGCCAGAAGAGGGCATTAGATCTCCTGAAACTGGAGTTAACTGATGGTTGTTAGCCATCATGTGGATGCTGAGAATCAAACCCAGGTCCTTTGGAAGAGCAGCCAGTGTTCTTAACCACTGAGTCATCTCTCCAGCTCCATGATTAGTGTATAAATTTGATAAAACATAGAATGGCTTAGGAGATGGGCCTGTGGGCTGTATGTGGGGGATTATTTGATTACATTAATTGAGGTGAGAAGGCCTACTCACTGTGGGTAGCATCATTCTCTGCACAGGGGATTTTGAATTGTATGAGAATGTAGAAAGCAATCTGAGCATGCATACATTGCTCTCTGTTCCTGACTACGGATTCAATGTAACCAACTCTCTCAACCTCCTCTACTATGGCTTCCCAGTTATGGCAAACTGCAATCTGAACCAAAATAAGCCCTTTCTCCCTTAAGTTGCTTTTGTCAGAATATTTTATCATAGCAACAGAAAAAGAACCTAAATATACAGTCTTCCTATGTAGCTCAGGCTGGAATCCAACTCATGGCAATCTGCCTACTCAGCTCCCCAAATTCTAGGAAAACAGGTATGGACCACCATGCCCTACTAAATTTCCATTTCTTGCTGCAGCTATATTAATTGAAGTTATGTTACCTACAAACAGAAGATTTCTACTATTAATATATATATGTGAAATATGAACTTTTACTCCCCTACAACACACCAGAAACTGATAATACATAAAAATTTACCTTGTGTTCCTGATTATTCATCCATGATTGGATGTGAAAATCAAGAGGTGAGTCTATTTAAAAAAACAAAAACAAAAACAAAAACTGAGGGGACAGATTATTTTTCAACCCAATAACACTTAAAAACAGCTAATTAATGAACTAAGCATTTTTTGCCTTGAAGGAGAACAGAAGCCACTTTCAGTTGATAACAAGAGAATCTACCACTGGTCAGTTAAAATATTAAAACTGTTAGGATGGGAAATCATAAAATTACACATATCATAAAACTTGAATATCAATCTAATCAAGACTATAAAGCTAACTTTTACACTGTAGGACATGTAAAGAGGAGAGAAACAAAGGAAATGACACCCACGTACATAAATAGACAAGTCCAAACCCAGAAATAAGCTTTAGATAAGCTCCCAGGCACACAGGACCAAACAATAACTTCAGACCCCAATTCAAGCAAATCAGTAGGAACTGCCATACCAGATCATAAGAAAAGACTTAAGGGGATGGAGAGATGGCTCAGTGGTTAAGAGCACTGGGTGCTCTTACAGAGGACCCAGGTTCAATTCCCAGCACCCACATGTCAGCAACCGTTTGTCTAACACCAGTGGGAATCCAACTTCCTCTCCTGACCTCCATGGGCACTGCATGACATGGGTGTACTTATATATATATATATGCAGGCAATACACTCATACACTAAATAAATGGGAGCAACAAAGTATGCCTTGTTCAGCATCCATGAGGCCCTGAGTTTGATCCCTAGGCAGTACTAAAGTTGGGGTGTGGGACAAGTATGACAAATATCCCACCTTAAGTTTAAGGAAAGGGTATATGGGAGTT